ATATATATATATATGTGTATTTGTATATATAGATATATAGATAGAAATGGTTTAAGGGGGCAGCGGTCGTAAGGTTTGGTTTATCTTGTGTAGGGGTTCTCAGGTTTAGATGGTATGGGGATGTTTTTAGGATTTAGGATGGAATATGGTTAAAGGGTTTAGGGCTTCGCCGTCTTGAAGGTCCTCTTCATCATGCGTAGGGCTCAGGGTGCCTTGTGCTAGGAGGACAGCAGCAGCAACGCTGCCGGCCCCAAATTCCTAAATGTACATGTTCGGATGCGTTTGTCTGATTAACTATATCACCCCGAATGAGCAGGGAGCTTTCCTTAGCGGCACCGGCTAGTTGTCAATATGTCGCAGTATTGCGCCTGCGAGATAACGACTGCTTTGACACGGACGTGTCCGAGTCCATCCAGCACGATCTGTTCTCCTCTGGCTACCAGGTGCGGTGCCTGGCGCCTTTTTCATCAAGTGGTAGAGCGGTTTCTGTCCGGGTATACCTGGAACTGAATTGGGCATACCACATGCAGCATCAAGGGAAACGATGCGACCCTAACCGACTCTAGGGGTAAGTAAGAACGCAGGTCTGCAGTATATACCCTCAGGCAATACGGTGTGCTGTGAAGTGCAGTTCGGGTTGATGAACTTCAGTCGGTGGACGGTACTTGCACACGAGGAGAAGAATCAATGTCATTGTGCAAATGCAGCATACTTTGCTCTTCACAGTGCTGAGCACACTGGTCACGAATATTGGCTCCGACTTGCGAACTCGTGTCCCCAACAGATAATCGAAAAATCAGCAGCCCCGAAGCCTCCAACCACGAAATTGCACTGAGCTTTAGGCCTTATAATAAGCTCTAAATACTCCCGGCACTGGGCTTTGCTTTGACATTTCGGAGATCCGATGCTCCTTAGGCGTCCTTTATCTAGGTATTAAGACTTACTCTTATGATGCAGGGGACTACCCTCTGCCCGCCCCCCCCACCCTCCCAAACAGTACATGGGACCCTTTGGGACCGAAGGACGGGCATCCACCCAGCTTGGCATTCGATGGTGCGCCTCTCAGTCCTTGGGATCCTGGTCTTGACCTAACTAAGGCTCTAGGCTACAAGTTATGGGGCCCCCTAACTGTTGCCCCTCTACGATATAATAGAAGGCCTCCCCCAAACACCATTATAGCCCCTTGATGACATCGTAGAATTCTTAGGGGTACTTAGAAATGATTTTTAATCTTTGGCTACTATAAACCCTAAGAAGCAGCTAAAATTATAATTTTTGCTATAGGGGTCTAAGTTCAGTATAGAATTACTGTCTCCCCAAACCCTATTCTGATTCGTGAGCTAGGCCTCTGATTAGTGTGTTTATTGCCGTGCAGAGCCGCTTCTTACGAGACTCGGTGCCTGCCAACTTGGTCCTCAGGTCTGCGATGCGGGGGCCAAAAGAACCCCCTAACAAAGGGGCCTTAATAGTTGGAATAGGGGTTTGGGACCTTTATACTATATTCAGAATGAGGACCCCCCCCCAAAACCCTATTCTAATTATTAAGGCCCCTGTATTCGACCAGCTGCTCTGCGACACGAGGCAGCTTAGAGACCAGTTGGCGCGATGCCTGCTTGGCTTGCCCAGGAGGCACTCGGCGTGAAGACAAGTCCGGATTTCGGGATGAGGCTTTGTAAGGTTCTTTCAGGGTGTCGTTAGGGTTTAGGGTTTAGGGTTTTGCTGGGCTACAGCGGCTATAAGGCTTCATAAGACTCTTCTATAATATAGCTTTTTATACAACGGTGCGGAATGAGGCTTTAGGGGTTCGGGTTCAGGAAAGGGGCTTTGTGATTGGTGTTGAAGTTATCAAAGGGATCGAATGCTTCAATGAGCAAAACACGGAAAGGTTCAACCCCCAACCCACAGGTCAAGCCCACCCACGCACGAGTTGTACCGCTGGGTGTTTAGACACCCCAAAAGCCGCAAGCCAGAAAGACTAAGCCTCGAACTTCAAGTCACTCCCTTATGGCCAAACTTTTTGTGGTTGGCTCTTAGGACTTTGCTTGATAGGCTTTCTTCATGAGCCGCAAGAGGACGCTACTGCAACTATGTAACAGTGAGGAGTGGTTCAGAGGTCAGCCAAGGTAAAAATCTGGGGCCCAAAACCCTGGCAATATAGGGGCCTTAATAATTCGAATAAGGTTTTGGGGCCCATTATACTCTAATTATAAGAAGGAGCACCCAAAATAGTACTGGTAATTATTTAGGCCCCTATATTACCTCATTGGTATTCCCGTTTAGGATAGCAGTACTGTTGGCTGGTATCGAGGGGCCCTTGGGGTCAGAATACCGCGAAAATGTATTGAATTGGTAATTAACCCTAAACCCTAAACCCCAACCGTTTAGGGTTTAGGGTTTAGGGCCCTAAATCGGGCGAGCTCCAATCAAGCCTGTGTAAAAAAGGGCCCTATATCACTTGAGTCCCTGCACTTCGTGGCGAGGCCTTTCCTGGTTGGCTCTCTCCCTGGTCTCTTCCGTCCGCATCCGCTGCATCCGCCTCTTTCAGGCCACGCCGTGGCCAGGGGAGCATTAGGGTTTTGGGTTTTAGGGTTAAGGGTTGTAGGATTTTAGGGTTTAGGGTTTGGGGCCTTAGGGTTTAAGGATTTAGGGTTTAGGGTTTGGGGTTTGCGGTCTAGGGTTTAGGGCCTGGCTTAGGGGGGTTTGGGTTTAGGTCCCCTGAAGACCCCCCAAACCCAATTTTAACATTTGGAAGTTGGGGTTTCAGAGCTATGCGATTCCAAACCCAAAAAAGCCCAAAACCCCCAAACATGCTCCTAGACCCTAAACCCTAAAGCCCCTTCGTTTCTGCATGCTCTTTACCGTCCCAATAAAACCTCGCCCTGAGCATTTGTTCTCAGCCCTGCGAGAGGGAAAAAAAGCTCCTTCGTTCCTAAACCCTAAACCTTATAAACCCTGAAACCCTAAACCCCCAGACCCCTATACCCTAAACCCTAAAACCCTAAACCCTAAAGGCAAAAAGCCCTAAACCCTAAAACCCTAAACCCTAAAACCCTAAAACTCTGAAACCCTGAAACTCTAAAGCTCCTTCGTTCCCTGGCCGGCGCTTCGGTAGGATGCGAGCTTTAGCCGTCTCGCCTCCGCGGTGGTCTTGGAGAGTCCGTACGTCAGAGACGAGCTCGAGCTCGAGGGACTTTAGGGTTTAGGGTTTAGGGAGTTTAGGGCTTAGGAAAAAGGGTTTAGGGCTTAGGGTTTAGGGCTTAGGGTTTAGGATTTAGGGTTTAGGGTTTAGGGTTAGAGTTTTGTTGGGGGGCGGGCCAAGGGTTGAATTATGGCCTGGGTCTGTGGACGGGGTTGGAGATTTGGTGTTTTTTTTCTGTGGTTTCAGGGTTAACTAAGGAGCTCGAGGGATGTAGCTGATTTCTCAGGGGGTACAAGAGCTCACGGTTTAAGGGCTCCAGAAATTGAAGAAATTAGTTTTGAATATACGGTTCGCAGGACTCTGTCTTGTTTTGTTTGGTGGGAATTCCGGTTTTGGGATGTCAAGTCAAGGATTCGAGGGCGGCGGGCTTCTTGGAACGTTATAAGGGGCTCAGAGCCTTGGGATTTTTCAGGGCTTGACGGCTTCATGGCTTTCGGGAACTGGGGCGAGGGTTTGGCAGCTTCTGGGGGTTTGCACTCCTGGGATTGGTCTTAAACTCTTCGAGGGATAAACACTTAAGTTTCGAGCCTTCTGGGTTTAAGATTATTGGATGTTCGGGCTTGCGAATCGGAACCCCGCCACAGCATCTTCAGCACTTCGTGAGATTATGGCTCGAAGTTCCTGTTTAGTATATAGTCTAACCTTTATATATAGGCAAATTCACATGGGTACATATGCCACCAAATCCATATGCTCTCACGTTGCATCCCATGGCCCTTACCGAGCCCCATAAACCCTTGCCTCATTCTTCTGCAGCTTCTAGCACCCTGAGTCCTAAACACCCCCAGAGTACTTCGGGAAACTCTAAAGCAGACCTCGCCAGTGAGCATGGTCATTCACCCCCGGAAGGCGCTCCATCAACCCGAAACCATGCCCCAAGCCTTGAACCAGAAGCCTTACATTAAGCAGCCTATACATCCCCTATGTCGTGCACTCTTCAAACAACAAGAAACGTCAACATATTATTGTAAGTTATTCCGTGTGAACCTACGTAGTAGCATGTTTTAGCAGATCCTACTGCTGAAACTAGAATATAGTGTAGTCTAAACCACAAACCCTTCAACCCTGAACCCTCAAACCCTACCTATAGTCTCCATTCCAGTTCCTTTTTTTGGTTTAACCAACCTTATAATTAGGATCCTAGAAGGAAACCCGAAAAAGGAATTACAATGGAGTCTATAGGTAGACCCCATTTTTGGGTTTAACCACCTATATTATTAGGATTCTATAAGGAAACCCGAAAAAGGCATTACCATGGAGACTATAGGTAGACCCCAAATCAAAATTAAAGCTCCAGGTTGGAACTCATCTGACTGGATCGTCGAATCGACCTTCGCCGACCTTCAGGGTGGCGTCTGGCGCCCGAAAGCTTAAAGTCCAAAGTTAGGGTGTAGAAGTTTTGAGTTTAGGGTTTAGGGGTTGTGGATTTAGGGTTTTGGGGTTCAGGGTTGGGATGTCGGGGTTTAGGGAGTTTAGAATCCAACGCCCTACAAAAGCTTGACTTGCATGGACCCTAGGCCCTAAGCGACCTCCCGTCGCAGGGCTCCCTGTTATGATTTCCGAAAGCATGCTTAAAAGGATAAGTTCGCATACGCAAACCCTAAAGGCAAAAACTGTGGCGAAAGACACCCTAAATTCGACAGCCCTAGGAACCCAAAGCCGTGCATAGGTGTTTTTTTAAGGAGCCGGGCTCTGAGCATCCTAAATATCGCAGCGCGGCCCGAACCCGGACTCCAGTCGTGGAGAAACGTATGTTTCTGATATATATGGTATATATAAAAAGGTATATACACATAGATGCATAAATGCATACATACAAGAATAGGTATTCACGCGTATGGATGGATGGATGCATGCATGCATGCATGTATGTATGTATGTCTGCATGTCTGTCTGTATGCATGTACGTACGTATGTATGTATGTATGTATGTATGTATGTGCATAAAGCGACCCTTGGCGCCGCTTGTACAGGGCTGTAGGGACCTGGTATCTGGGCGCTTGGCTTGAGACGTTTTGCAGGGCATGCGGCTTGCAAAACCCGCATGTAAGTTCAAGGGCCAGGGTTCTGATCAAGTTGTTTCGCCCTACTTCTTCCCATGCTCGCTTGGGGTCATTCGTCTCAAAACCTAGCTCTGTGGACCCAGAAAAGCGGAGCCCGAAACCCCATAAGAGACTCTGCCGTACTTTGCAGGGCCCAGGTAGACCTACCTTAAGAACCCAAAACCCACTTTTTTGTAGGTTCTGATTATAAACCCTAATAAGGGATTTATAGGGACCCTACAAAAAAGTAGGTTTTGGGTTCTTAAGGTACAGCTGAGTCCTGCTTGCTGGAGACCAGACCCCGACCAAGGCCTGGGGCAAGTACAACCTGCGCCGGGGACTCGATCCCTGGAGCCTGCTGTAGGGGCTTTAAGAGTTAGAACGGGGTTTTGGGGGGTTCTTACTACAAATAGAAGAGTATAATGTACCCCAAGCCCTATTCTAATTATATAAGACCCCCATGTTAGAGCACTGAAGTCCATTCAGTTGGATACAGCTCAGTCGTGCTAGTCGTCAGGGTGGAGACGACATAGTAGTTTTCGTCGTCATTGCGGGCATTCACGCTAATCGAGCCGCAACTGTCTCAAGTTTGGCCCCCACACCCAGGCCCAGTTTCGACACCAACACTCAAACAGCGCTCTCTGGACAAAGGTTGGGAGAGCCCAGCGGCTCAGAATCGATGGCGTTTCGTTTTGGCCTAGAGCTGAGCAGAGCGCTGGGGTTTAGCCTTTGTAGGCTTGATGGCTTTCGACGGTTGTGGGTTTAGGCTTTCGGGTTCAGGGTTCGGGTTTAGAGTTTCAGGTTCACGGTCTACATGTGCTTAGAAACAGCGCTGCAAATGTGGCAAGTCCTTGGTACCAGCGCAAGTATAGCTACAGGCGCTGTGGTTCAAGCATGTTGCGATACAGAGCTAGTTTCTGGCGGCCCAGGATTCATTGCCCCGTCTCACAGGCAACGCCGAACATCAGCCTGGCAGTTGCGGAGCTCGCGTGCTTGTCTCAGCATACAACACCCGAACGTTCATACAGGGGCCGGATCCCCCCAAAAAATATAGTGTAACTAATGTAACTACTGTACCCCAAAGCCCTATGCTAGTTGTTAGGCCCCTAGATCGTAATAGTGCCGAGCATGAGGCCTAGACAAGCCGGATCTCCATTTATGGGCTACCTATAGGCCCCATAGTAGTTCCTTTTTGGGATTACCTAATACGATCCTAAATATAAGCCACAAAGAGGAACTACTACGGGGGCCTATGGGAATGTAGGACAGAGGACGTTTTTTTGTTGGTAGCACGTGCCAAAATGATGTGTCTTTTCTCGGTGCGAGTGTAGCGGTAAAGTAAAGTGTTGGATCAAGATTGTCGGGATTTTCCCCTGCTACTTCAGCCACAATGGGTACTCAGGGCTGAGGAACGGGAAACGCAAAAGTATGCGATTGATTCAAGGGCCGGTTTGCTCATGCTGATAAGGCAGTATGCTTAGCAGGTCCTTCTTCGTTATGTTGCCATTTTCCATTGTTTGGCGTTCCTCCAGTTCGAGCCTATTTCTGCAGACTTGCACCGGGCCGTTAGTGTAGCAATGTTTACAGGATTTCATTCTTTCCTACCATGCATTACCTGCAGCCAGTTATCTGCAAGAGGCACTCACTTTTATCCAGCCTTTCGACTTTTCGTAGCCCTTCGAACCCCCATGTATTCCAGCTCGACGTTCCGGCTTGGCGGTCCCGATTCGTAGGTCGATCTCTTAAGGTCTTACAACAAAACAGGGTCCTGCAGACAGAAACGGGGCTCGAGTTCGGTCCAAAGTTTTCCTTCTTATTGATGCCAGCAAGTTCAAGATGCCCAGATCCCAATCTCAGGCCTTACATTGTGGTGGGTTTAAGGGGTTTGGGTTTCTCAGAATTTCCATGCTTCATAAACCCTACACCCAAAACAAACTGTAACACTCTCTAAGCACTAGTTGACGTTTGACTCTCCTATAACGTACGTAGTACCCCGTATAACAACCCTTGTAGCACCATTCGAGTAATCCTTCCAGACCCCGGTAGAAGGAGCCGAACCCCAAATCCTGTGCAGCCCTGGCCTTGCGAGCAGGTTCTTTGCAGACCTCGGCTGCAGCCAGCCCATCGCGGGCATTCCCATCGCCAGCGCGACGCGCATCGGTGCTCTGTCAGGTTCAGAAGTTCACGTTCGCAAGAGGTATATAAACCCCACAAGCCCTATAAACCTAAATCCCGAGCTTAAAGCCAAGCAGTCCTTACTTAAAGTACCTAAGCCCCCCGTAAGCTGAAAGCCCTGCACCTGTATATACATGTCTGTCCTCGAAGGATCCCCGAAACAGAACTTACCTCTTCACAGAATCGCCCGGAGAGTCTGAAAGGCACGGGTTCGTCCATGCCAGGCAGCAGGGAACAAAACACCAAGTCCTACAGGCGTAACCGCAAAGCTCGAAGCCCGAAACCAAATAGGTAGTTCTCTAAATTAGGGTCCCTTTTGGAGTCCTTTTATAAGGGTGCCGTACTATACCGGGGACCAAAAAGGGACCCTCATTTAGAGAATTAAGCCGAATAGCTACACCTTTCTTGAAGACAGGGGAATGAGTATTCGACATCCGCTGGAAAACCGGATCTCCGAAACATCCGTTCTCCAAGTTTAGCGACTTCCGACACAAAAGCCGAGGGTATAGTTTTGTTCATATGGGGCGGGTTGCTGGTTCACAGCTTGTGAACCTCTTCTGCGGAGCCTTCAAGTTTCTAGACCTTAGCCCTCGCACGTCCTTGAGGCCTGAAGCCTAGGCCTAGGCCACGTGCGCAGAACTAACTAACGCATGCTCGTGCTCTTTCTACATCTGTCAACCGTCAAACTCAGCCGAAAAGCTGCTCTCCTAAGGTGCTGCGGCATACGATGCTTTCGATGGTGATGCCTTGATCTCAGTTTGTTTCCCTTCATGACCCTTGTATGTGTGCATCTGTTCGAAGCAAAAGCTTAAAGACTTCGTCCCGATTATAAGGCATTATAGGGCTTTCCCCGAAGGTTTAGGACCCTAAAACCTTCTGAGCAAACCATGGGCCCACCCTTTTGGGCCGTCACGCCCACAGGGCTCAATCCATTGCCTCAGGTTGTTTGTCGAGATAAGACTTTCTGACCAGGCTTCAGCACAACTGCGCCCCTAAGCCCAACACCACTGCGCTGCTGTAAGACAAGCGCCGAAATATTTGACGAATACTACTTCAGGGTTCCATATTGTTGTTATTCGACTAAACTGCAAGACTTATTCAAAACCCTAAACCCTAAACCCTATTCAAATTAGAAAGGCCCTTAACAACATTAGAACAAGGATGCCACCTCCTGGGTATCAGAGTGCCGCGAGTGCGCCGTCGGGGAGGCCGCCGGCAGACCCAGGGCTGTTTTTTGTGCTTCCTTTCTTCGTGAACGGTTTAGGGTTTAGGGGTT